GCCAGCTGAGGGCCGGGAAAAGGACAACCTCTGCAAGGTCTCTTCCAGCTCCGAGTACAGCATCGCACAACACAGAGGTATTGCCTCTTGGGCCCCAGAGATCACCCCATCGCCAGATGCTCATCATGCCTCACCTATGATCTCAGCTGCTGGAATGGCCATCCCTTGGGCTTCGACGCCAGCAGGGACACAGATGGTGGTGGTGCTGGTGACCTGGGGACTGCTTGGGTGTGAGGCATCCTGGGGCAGGGCCACAGCAGGTTTGGGTAGAGGTGGAGGAGTAGAGAGAGCAGATGGGCTCTGGAGCAGATCTTCAGGTGGCGGCACAGGCACTGCCACAGGCGGTGAGCTCCATGCCTCCTTGTTCACCAGCAGCACCTCGATGGGACCACTCACACTCTTCAAATGAATCTGGTACTTCTTCTGCCCATTGAGGCCCTGCAGGTGTGGGGCAGGTGGAATTGGAAGCAGGCTTGGCTCCTGCCTGACCCTGAGCCACAGTGTCCTCTCTCACCCCAGGCTGCCCATTCTCCTAGATAACCCGAAACCTCAGGCCTCCCCTACCCGCCCCACCCGAGACTTATCGGGCTCCACAGCCAGCCCCCGCCCTCAGCCAACCCCGCCTGCCTGAGCTGAGCACCCACCTCTGGGATGGGCACCTCCAAGCTGGTGCCAGAAGGAGCCCGGATGGCTAGAAGAGTGTCTCCTAGAATAACAAGGGGGATGGGTCAGGGCCCAGGGGTTCAATCTGAGCTGGGAATGGGGGTTCCTGTTCCTTGGAGCAGGAAGACCAGGGTCTCTGAGGGGCTGGACACCCAATCCCCACAGTGGCTGGGACAGAAAACTAAAGCCTTTCTCCTTCTAAGACCCCAGGGGTGAATAACCAGAAAATCTGAATTTAAACATGTGGAGCAAAAAATTGCTGGCCATGAGTATCCCATTCCCCAACTGAGGGCTGCTCCCTAGGTACAGGTGTTCTGGCCAAGGCCAACATCCCTTCCCCAGGACCAGTCTGGGGGATCAAAGACAGAGGAGGAACAGCTCCTGTATCCACAATGCAACCGAACTAACTGCAGGTTGGAAAGGGGCATCACGGCCCCCTGCATACAAGCATGCACGCATGAGCGCACGCACACATACGTGTACACACACACACACACACACACACACACACTTTCCCCTTATGTTTGCTCTTCACACCTGAGAAGCCAAACCCAAGGCACCATGCAGATGGGGACTGACCTAGAGACCCAGCCCAGAATTGCTGTACCCGCTCAGTATGGTTGGCCTCCATAGGGCCCCAGTGACCCTCTCATCCAGGACTCGCCCTGCCTGACTCCTCTTTGGGAAGGCCCCGGCAACCCTCTTAAGAGACAGAACGCTCTTTAGATACTGAACCCACTGCTCAGGGCTGTGGCTCAGCCCAGCCCCAACCCCATCTCCCCCCACTCAGGCTCTGCTCACCAGCAAAGCATCTGCAGATGTCCTCATGAGTCACGTAGGCCAAGGTGTGGGGGTTAAGGAGAACGACTGATGCCCTGCCTATGCTGACAGATGGCAGACCACAGAGAAGACCCAGCTCTTCAGCAGAGGTCTAACATACAAGCCCTCGGAGAAAGTCCTGGGGTCTGGGGTCTAGAAGGGAAGGATCACAGACCAAGATTGGTGGGAGAGGGGCTCTGAGAGGGAAGCAGGAGGCTGGGACCCGGCCAGGAGCTGCAGGACCATCCTCCCCAGAGGGACAGAGCCAGGACACCACAATGCAAACCCAGCTGGACTAGAGGGCCCCTCGCCCACACCCCAGGAGCAGGGGCTGCCAGGAGGATATCAGCTGTTCTGCACGTCCTCTGTGACGTTCCGGATGCTCTGCTGCACCCACACCTTGTGCTGGTCCAGCTCTTGCTCTCGCTGCTGCAGCTCTTCGATCTCTGCCTTAAGCTCAATCAGCTTGTCCGCAATCTCCCGGGTGTTACAGCCAGGCCCCACGCCCCTGAGCCCAGGGAGGGGGGCTGAGGAGGCCTGCCAGGAGCTCTGGGCCCCATGGACCCTGCTCTCTCCTGCACCCTCCACCGCCCACCCAACACTTCCGGATGGGAGATCAATCCCATTGCCCTCCCAGGTGCCTCTACTCACTTCCACTGGATGCTATTCTTGGATTTTTTCTCGATCAGCCCAATACCTTCCAGCACGTTGGTAATGTCGTAGATCCGCCGCTTCTGGCGCACAGCTAGGGTGTCAGCTGCCTGGCAGAGAGAACAGAGGGGAGGATGCTCAGCCCCACTCTCAGGTGTACCCTCAGCTACCTGCAGACTTGGCCTGGAGGGGGCTGGAAAGGGGGTGGACAGGCCCAACCCTCCTCCCAGGCATCACAGCAGCTCAGGACCGCAGGGTGGAAAGAGGCCCGGCACAAACTACACGGACGTTCCGATGCTCTTTTCCCCAGGCAGGGAGGGCCACGAGGACCAGCACCTGCAGCCCTGAGCCTGGCACAGGGCTGACACCCAGTGGCCTCGGCCGAACGAACGAAACAGCTCCCGACCTCCCACTTGTGAGAAAGCACCCGGATGGCGGCTTGCTCTCCGAGGGCTCCGCTGGGTCGCCCCAGGAGTTCCCGCTACCTGCCCAGGCCTATTCTAACATCCCCTCTGCCGCCCCGCAGGCCGGACCGCACCAGCTTGAGGTCAAGCACGCCGTCCTTGGCCTCCTGCAGAAGCGACACGAACTTGGTAGTGAGAAGCCCCAAGCTCTTCTCGTGCCGGCTCGGGGTGCCCGGGGGCGGCGGCGCCTGTGGCCCGGCCTCCGCCATCGCGCCCGCCCGCCGCCTCCCCTCAGCCAGGCCAGGCCAGGCCGGCGCCGCCGCCACTTCCGCTTCCGTTCCTCACCGCCCAGCCGCCGGCGCCAGCGTCGCAGCTTCCGCTTCCGTTCCGCTCTCTCCTAGGGAACGTGGGGCAATCCCTCTCCGCGGGTACGGCCGCAAAACTTTGGGGCCGTCAGCAAATTAGCAAATTTTCAACCGCCGAAAAGGACGAAATCAGCCCAGGTGGAGGAAGTCGGTGGCAATAGAGAAGGGGGAGCCACCAAAACCTTCCGGGTGGCCAACCCGTCTTCGGAGAGGAGACCGCGCTGCCAGATGAACCCAATGTGTTTCCCCAATTCCTGCTCCTATAAACTGCCCCACTGTCTTGGGGTCACCCATCCTATTATCGTACCTCACTTCCTGCCAAACAATAAGCACTCACTACATCTAGCTTGTCCTCTTGTCTCCAGCCCCACTCCCCTTCCCTGATCCCAGCCTCATCTTCCTCTTGTCTCCACCCTGCAGTGCTCAGAGGCCATAGAATTATAGCCACTTTTCAGCCAATGCAAACACGTTGACCAATGAGTCAATATATGTAAAGCACTTAGAGCAGTTGCCAGCATGTAGGGAGGATTTTGTGTTTGCTGGTATCATTTTGTTATTTTTTTTTTAGCGTTTTTGTTATTATTTCTACCCAGTCAGATTCTCCAGGAAGCAGACTTTGACCCAGGGAATCTGCCTGCAGGAAGTTTATCCACGCTTGTAAGATAAGCAGAAATGGACAGAGAAGGAATTAAACTGCAATGCAGTTATAATAAAGACCCCAGCCCATCCTACTAGGAGCTCTGAAACTGGGGTGGCCCTTCCAAGACGTTCCATATCCAGACAGGGGTACGGGTTCTGGGCCTTTGTACCCCAACACTGGCCTTGAGATTCAGCTGTGAGACCTCAGCAGCATACACTGCAAGCAGCGAGGGGAACAAGTGCCTTTGTCCTGAAGGGTGGGTTTGGGTGGTTCCCTAGTGCCCGCTACATTATTACTACCTTATAGTCCCTTCTGTGGCCCCTTTAACTCTCAAGATAAACAGTTCTCAGAGCCCACCATACACATTCTTTTATATATATTTATTTTTATTGATTTTTTTTTACAGAGAGGAAGGGAGAGGGATAGTTAGAAACATCGACAAGAGAGAAACATCAATCAGCTGCCTCCTGCACACCCCCAACTGGGGATGTGCCCCCAACAAGGTACATGCCCTTGACCAGAATCAAATCTGGGACCCTTCAGTCCGCAGGCTGACGCTCTATCACTGAGCCAAACCGGTTAGGGCTCACATTCTTCACAACAGCCTGTGATCTCTCACTTCTCTGCAGAGGTTACACACCCTCCTCTGAAGGGCCTGTCAGCATAGTTTTCATACTGTGATGTTGTCTGCATCCATGTTTGCACACCTCACTCTCCACCCCAAATTGGGGCCATCCAGTTCATGTCTGTTCTGGGCACTAAGAGGTCCTGGGTGGACTGGTCAAGACTTAATAATCACAGGGAGTACCGCCCCCTCCCCCCAAGGAAGTGAGCCCAGCCCTCCCCACCCCATCCACAGCGCAGATGCTCTTTCCTGTTGGGAATAAAACGCCAGAGACTCAGCTTCCTTCCTTTCTGCCTGTGGTCTTGGGGAGAGGAGGAGGCGGGCTTCTGGACAGGGAGGTGGGACCGAGACTTCCTTGGAAAGGGGAATTCTGCTGCATGCAGAGGTGTGACCCAGAGGTGTGACCCAGAGCCACCGAGGGAGGGAGTGCCCAGCTCTGCTGTGAGGGCTGGGGGAGAGAGCCATCCTCAAGGCCAACGCTGTTTGCGGAGGAGGGAGAACTGGCCGCCTGGTCAAGCCTGGTGAGTTCCATACTAAACTGTCCTCTGCAACGCAGAACAGGAGTGGGGTCCAGTGGAGGCCTGTGCCCACCCTGCCTCACTTGGCATCTGAAGGGGCAACGCTGAGAAACCCAGCAAAGGAGGCTTCCCAGGTGCCTCCCCATCTCACCCTGCCTCCCTCCCATTTGCTGAGGAGCCTGGGCAGGAACCTCCCTCCTCCTTCTGAGAGAGGCCTAGACAGAGCCTGCAGCTCAAAGCTCCTCCACTCTGCCTGCTCTAGCCCAGACCCTTGCCCGGACTCCTACCTCGGCTCCGGCTCCTCCAGGGCCTTACATGGACCCCACAGCCAAGGACGAAATGCAACCTTCACTTCCTCCTGGTATGAGCCCTTCTGGGTGGGTTGCGGGAGGGATGTGGCAGGAAAGATGGGAGTGGAGGGTTTGGGCCCCTCCTGCCAGATCTGGCTGGAGTTCTGTCGGTCAGTGAGAGGAGTAGACTGCCCTGGAGTTTCAGGCTGAGGAGCAGGAAGGGGAGCAGGGTCGGCAGCTGCTTCCTTCAGGCCCTGCCCAACTGACATGGCTACCCAGGCTCTTCCTGCCCAGGGCCAGAGTGGCCGGAGCAGGAGAGGGCGGAGCAGCTGGCCCGGGGTGCAGCACTCAAGTGGGCCTCAGGCATCTTCTACCGGCCGGAGCAGCTGGCCAGGCTGGGCCAGTACCGCAGCCGTGAGGTACAGCGCACCCGCTCCCTGGAAGCACGCATTAAGGTGGGCATCAGGCAAGGGGCAGGAGAGCTGGGGGTGGGTGGCCAGCTGGCCAGGCCTCACCGTCTCCCTCCCTTCCGCAGTCAGTGGTGCAGTCATACCTGGAGGGTGTGAAGACTGGTGTGTGGCAACTGGCACAGGCCCTCGAGGCCGTGCAAGGAGCCCGTGAGGCCCTGGGCCAGGCCCGTGGGTTGCTCCGGGGCATGGCCAAGGCTGTACAGACCCTAGAGCCCTTGCGGGAGCAGGCTGTCCAACACAAGCAACTGCAGGCCCTGTCTCAGCTGCTGCCCCGGCTGCGAGCAGGTGAGTGTGCAAGGGCCCTGGGCTCCAGCCCCCAACAGTCAGTCAACACACTCATCAAGGGGCTAGGGTACCAGTGGGAGGTTGCATGGAGGGACACACCAAGGGCCTCCCAGAGAGTAACTCAGGCTTCAGATGGCACATAAAGCAGGGTGCAAATTAGCTCACTCAGGTTTCCGAGCAGGGGATGTCTGAGTCAGCACTGATACCCAGTCAAGTGGCTCTGGCCACCCGGGTTGTTACATTGAAATATTCCCTAACAGCGTGGGTGAATAGCCACTAGAATGTCCTCCCGTTCCTCCCTGCCTTCCCTCCAGGATCCCTGACTTCCTTCTGTTCCATCAGCTCAAGGGTTTACACCTGGCCCAACAGGCCTCTAGGCTAGGGCCTTCCCTGGTCCTTTCAGATTGGCCAACGCTCTACTATACTGGTTATATTTTATTCTCTAATAAGATTAAATTCATTCAGTAAAAGTCTACTCTACTGGTTATTTAATACTTTATACATCACCCCAGCCGCAGGGCCTCAGCATCTGATCCTGTACCCATTGCACAGGTGGGAAGGCTGAGACCCAGGGCTGTCTCTTCTGCTCCCTCCTTAGTGCCGGCTGCAGTGGTCCACGCACAGACCCTGATTGATGCCCATCGGCTCTTGGAGGCATATGTGAGCCTTAGGGAGCTGGAGCAGCTGCAAGAGGAGACGTGGGCCTCTCTGGGGGGTCTGGAGTTGCCAGTCTTTGAGGGGCTGGGCCCTCTGGCTGAGGCACTGGGCCAGGCTGTGGAGGCAGCTGTAGGGGCTGCAGGGCAGCTGGCCCGGGAGGACCCAGCCCTGTTGGTGGCTGCTGTGCGTGTGGCGGAGGTGGAGGCTGGCAGAACCACCTCCCTGGAGCAGGCCCCCCGGGACTGGCGGCAGCGCTGTCTGCGAGCGCTAGAGGAGGGCCTAGAGCGGGTCCACTTTGGGACACCTCTGCTGCCTGGACCAGGGGCCCTCGCAGGGTGGCTGGAGGCTCTGCGGGTGGCTCTACCAGCCGAATTGGCCACAGCGGAGGCACTGATCGCACCCTGCTGCCCACCACACTACAAGGTGGTCCGGCTGTGGGCCCACACCCTGCACGGCGGCCTGCGGCGCTGCCTGCAGCAGTTCCTGGAAGGGCCCGAGCTGGGAGCCTCCGACGCCTTCACCTTGCTGCACTGGGCGCTGCATGTGTACCTGGGGTCAGTGCCCCTGGGGCAATGGGAAGGGGGTGGATCAGAAGCTGGGGGCTCAGAGTGACACTAGGCCACTCATCACCAGGCCAGAAATGATGGGGAGCCTGGAACTGGGGCCGGAGGCTGATGTGTCTCAGCTGGAACCTCTCCTGACCCTGGAGAATATCGAGCAGCTAGAGGCAACGTTTGTATCCAAAGTCCGGGTGAGTAGTTGGGGCCCAGGTCCAGAGCAGCTCTGCCACCAGCTGTGTGACTGTATCTGTAGAGCAGTGGTTCTCAACCTTCCTCATGCCGCGACCCTTTAATACAGTTCCTCATGTTGTGGTGACCCCCAATTTCATTGTTACAAATTGAACATAATTAAAACATAGTGATTAATCGCAAAAACAATATGTAATTATATATGTGTTTTCCGATGGTCTTAGGCGACCCCTGTGAAAGGGTCATTCGACCCCCAAAGGGGTCGCGACCCACAGGTTGAGAACCGCTGCTGTAGAGTCACATGGCTACCTGTCTCTAGCAGGGTCAGTGCCCTGCTACATTCTGCTGCCCCTTGTCCCTTCCGCCAGGCAAGTGTGGTGCAGTGGCTGCAGAAGGCACTGGAAGGGGAAGTGGCTGAATGGGGCCGGGAGCAGGAGCCTGACACAGATCCATCCGGCTTCTACCACTCACCAATGCCAGCCATCGTGCTGCAGGTGGGTGGGAAGTGGCAGCCAGGTGGACAGCCCTCATACAGAAAGCGGGCGGGGCGGGGGGCAGAACTAGGACACTGCTGATGGCTGCCCATCCCTGCCTGTAGATCCTGGAAGAAAACATTCGAGTGACCAGCCTGGTCAGTGAGTCACTGCAGCGGCGGGTGCACGGCATGGCACTGTCAGAACTGGGAGCGTTCCTGAGGAGGTCTGCCAAGGCACCAGCCCACCCCCACCCCCTGCCCTGCTCCTGGGGCAGCCCAGGGGGGCTCTGAGTGAATAAGGCACACCAGTGGGGAAAGGCTCCTTGCAACAGTGCCTTGGGTATCTTGGAGGTGGGGGCCAGAGTACTTGGGACAGAAATTGTTGGGGTACCAGTGACAGCAGGTACAGGCGCCACCTCTGTCCTTTGCAGCTTTAATGATGCTCTGATCCGATTCTCCCGAGACCACCTCAGAGGGGAAGCAGTGGTCCCTCATTACGTGTCCTACCTACTGGCTGCCCTCAACCACCAGTCGGCACTCAGGTACCATAAGGCCCCCACAGAAGCCCACCTTCACTGACTGCTGAGTACCTGCTAAGTATGGACCCAGCCTTCACTAGTCTATTAGGAACTTTGGAGTCACATAGCCCCGTGGTTCCAATCCTAATTCTACTAATTACTAGCTGGGTGACCTTGAGCTAGTTACTTAATCTCTCTTACTAGTATTATATGAGTAACTAGAGGCCTGGTGCATGAATTTGTGCACAGGTGGGGTCCCTCGGCCTGGCTGGTGATCAGGGCTGTTTGGGGTCGGCTGGCCAGGGGGAAAGGACCATGGGAGGTTGGCCAGCCACCCTGATGGGGGCCGATCAGGGCCAGCCGCGGGGGAGGGACTTCCGGAAGTTGGCCAGCCACAGGAGGTTGGCTGTGGGAGTGCACTGACCACTAGGGGAAGCTCCTATGTTGAGCGCCTGCCCCCTGGTGATCAGTGAACGTCATAGCTACCAGCAGGTCCTCCAGTCATAAAGGTTGCTTAGGCTTTTATATATAACTAGAGGCCCGGTGCACGAAATTCATGCACAGCGGGGAGGGTCCCCTTAGCCCAGCCTGCACCCTCTCCAATCCAGGACCCTTGGGGGATGTCCGACTGCTGAGGTACTCCTGGGGATCGGGCCTAAACTGGCAGTCGGACATCCCTCTCATAATTCTGGACTACTGGCTCCTAACCGCCTCTGCCTGCTGGCCTGATCACCCCTCACTGCTTCTGCCTGCCAGCCTGATCGCCCCCAACTGCCCACCCTGCTGGCCGGGTCGCCCCACACAGCCTGTTCAGTCATCTGTTCAGTTCTGATGGTCACTTAGGCTTTTATATAGATAGATGAGATGTTCTGAGGATCACATTTGATGTAAAGTACCTACCACAGTGCCTAGCACATAGTCTCATGTTTAATTCAACATACTACAACATAGTATACTCACCAAGGCCTACTCTGTGTCTGAGGTTACAGCTGTGATCAAAACAGAAAAGTATTTCCTTCCTCTTGGGTCTTATATTATTTGGGATTAGAGGGCCAGTGCATGAATTCATGCACAGGTGGGGTCCTTCAGGGTGGCCTGTGGAGATTGGGCCCCAGTTCACACCCCCAGCCTCACAGCCCCACCTGGCACCCTGCCTTGGCCTGGTGCTGCCTGCTCCACCATCCTGCCTGCAGGGCCGTCCTCCCCCCCCCCACCCACCGGCTCCCTCAGCGCCTGGGAGCTGGGCAGCAGCCTCGCACTCCACCGCTGCCACTGGTCTCCATCTGCGGGGTGATCGGTGGAGCAATCAGGCCTCGCTTGCATCTGCTTTGGCCTAGTGCCGCCCACTCACCTGCTCCACCATGCCGCTGTGGTCCTGCTCTTGTCAGGGCTCATCGGGGCTGGCAGCACCTCCACTGCTGCCCGCTGCCAGTGCCGCATTGCCAATGCCTGCCATGTTCCGCGCCGCCCCCTGGTGGTCAGCGCACATCATAGCAAGTGGTCAAACTCCCGGTCTTCTGGTTGAATGGGTCGAATGACCACCTGAGGGGACAATTTGCATATTAGGCTTTTATTACATAGGATGGGGAAAGAGAGGTCAGACAAACAAGTTACTCCCTCTTGACTGTGATGAACTCTCTCCCCTTACCGATGAGGAAACAGAAACAGGAAGACATGGCTTGCTCAAGGTCTCACTGGGAATTAGAAACAGGTCTGACTGGGTTGTGTCTTTTCTAGCTTGCTGAGCCCACCCGTGCACACCCTAGACCAGCGGTTCTCAACCTGTGGGTCGCGACCCCTTTGGGGGTCGAACGACCCTTTCACAGAGATCACCTAAGACCATCGGAAAACACATATATAATTACATATTGTTTTGTGATTAATCACTATGCTTTAATTATGTTCAATTTGTAACAATGAAAATACATCCTGCATATCAGATATTTACATTACGATTCATAACAGTAGCAACATTACAGTTATGAAGTAGCAACGAAAATAATTTTATGGTTGGGTGTCACCACAACATGAGGAACTGTATTAAAGGGTCGCGGCATTAGAAAGTTTGAGAACCACTGCCCTAGACCTTCAGAAGGCGAGGGCCCTTCTTACCCCGCTTCCTGCCACACACACCTCTGCCACTAGGTGGCGCCCAAGCTTCCAGACCATCGAGGCCTGTGAGGGCCTTGGCCTTGGTCCTGAAGCCCTACTTTTGGTTGGTCCAGCTCCTCCGTGTCCGTCTTGCAGCCCGAAGGGGTGGTCTCAGGGGCCTTGGCTCCGGTGGAGGCAGCGCTGGACGAGTTGCAGAGGAGGATCTGCCGGCTGGTGTTGGAGGCGCTGTTGCTGGAGCTCCAGGTGAGACTGCAGGTGGGACTAAGGGTAGGAGGAGATAAGGGTATGTTTGGGAGTCTCTGCAGGGAAATTCCGGGTCTGGATCATTCTTCCAGCCCCTGTTCGCGACTCTGCCTTCGCGCCGTTGGCTGTCGAGCCCGGAGCTGCTGAACAATGTGTGCGAGCGGACAGCGCGCTTCTGCCGGAACTTCTGGCGTGTTCGGAAGCCCGCATTCCAGGTGTGTTGGGGAAAGGCTGGCGAGGGTGGAACGCCGATGGAAAAGGTGTCCTGGGCCCACGTGATAGCCCTCCCCGCAGGTGCTCCTGGCCGAGACGGAGCGTGCGGTGGTGCTGCAGTACCTATGTGCGCTGATGCAAGGCCGCCTAGTGTGCCGCGGTGCGGACGAGCGGAACCAGGCAGCCGAGCGCATGCAACAGGATGCCACCCAGCTTCGGGATCTTTTCCTCGATTTGGTAAGAGCTTGTTGGGCGAGCAGATGGGTGTGAGTCTCCGTGGTTGGGTGGGAGCCAAGGGCGGGCTCAAGACCTAGCCCAACGTGGTCAGGGCCTGGAAGAGAGCGCTCATTGCGCGCCGGTGCTGCTCACCCTGCGGAAGCTGCTGAACCTCCACGACCCCACGATGCTTGGCCTCGAGGTGGCAAGCCTTCGGCAACAATTTCCCGACGTAAGGTACGTGGATGGGAGCGGAAAGGGAGAAGGGACCTGGGAGGGATAGGGCGGGGGGCTGATGCATCGCTGTGGTCCGCCCCCCCACTTAGCGAGGAACATGTCTCTGCCCTCTTGGACCTGCGCGGGGACGTGTCCCGAGAGCAGCGCCAAGCGGCACTCAGCTCCCTGCAGGACGGCCCGCAGCCCTCGCCCCGCGCGGGTCGCCGCGCACTCTTCAGCCTTGTGCCAGCACCTACACCTTCTCCATCCTCCTGCCTCTTCTCGGGGTCCTGTGCCTGAATCTCACCTGCTCGCAGAATAAAGCTGTGTGCCCGCTTCCCCCACCACCACCCCCGTACGCCTGAATTGTGTGTGTTGGGAAGGCGGGGGGATGAAATAAAAGTGTCCGCGAACGTTAGGGGGTCCAGGACAGGGACACGCCTACGGTATCCTGGCCCCAGTCCAGAGATTCCGGCTGCCCCCCGTCTGTCCCGGCATCAGTTCCCAAGTACCCGGCTTCCGTGAGCGGACTGCACCCCCACGGCTCCGCGCCGAAGCAGTGATTTGGAGTCTCCCCAGCCCTGACTCGGGTACCACCGGAAGCCTTGAAACCCGCCTGGCCTTGGGGGAGCCGGCGGGCTCAGGACAACGCCCCGCCTAGGGACGTGACTTGAGGGCTGACACCGCCCCCTCGGCCCGGCCCGGCCCCGCCCCCGCAGCTGTGTTCTCTGGAGCCGGCGGCGGCGATGGACGCGAACCCGCGCGCTTTCGCGTGAGCGTGCGCGTGCGCGCACCCGAGTGCGTGCGTCCGGGGCGTCAACTCCGGAGGGCTGGGCTGCCGGCGACCGATGTCTCGGAGCGGGAGCGGGAACGGTGACGGAGAGAAGAGCAGCGAACAGGTGGGGGTACGACACGAGGATGGAACCCTTTTACCCGGAGAGGCTGAGAAGGCGCGCGACGGGACCCCCGCCTCACCTACCAAGAAATCCCCCTTCTATTGTCTCTTGGCCCCGCCCTCCATTGGGCACGCCCTTTGCCTCATCCCCCGCCGTTTATTGGCTACAGGTCACGCCCCTCCTCGATATCTCCGTCCCCATTGGCTCCTCTTCCACGTTATCCTCTCCGGGAGTTTCCCCATTGGCGCAGGCCACACCCTCTCATTTGTCACCAGACTCCACCTTCAGTCTGGGTTCCTCCCCTCGCCATCCTTCATTCATTCTGCATCTCGTGCTGGATGCTTGAGACATGGGAGTGAATCAGACCCGTCCCTGCCCTCAGGGAGTTCAGGACATGGTGAGGGGACACGGACCTAGGCTACGACAGTGACAACCTAGGGCAGTAAAGAGGCCGTCTAGGCGCCCTGGGAGCCTCTAAGACGCCTGGAAGACTTCCCGGAGGAGGTGAGGCCTAAACCAAGCCCTGAAAAAAATGGGTAGGAGTTTGCTCCAGGGAGACATTGGGAAAGCATTCTGGGCAGAAGGGCCTGAGACATAAAAGACACAGGCGTATTCTGGCCATTGCAAAGAAGTGGGTGGAAGGAAAGATGAAGGGGGACTGGTCCAGGTAGAGGCTCGGAAACCACTGAGAAGTCCAGGAAAGTGTACAGTTAGTTGAGGGGAGTGAAGCCTGAGGCCAGAAATCTTTTTAAGCAGCTGGTCTCTGGGCGGGGTGGAAGGAATTTGTGTGTCTGGAGGGCGGGCGGGCAGGGGCAGGGGGGGGGGGGTGTCAGACCCAGATGGGAAAACAAAGTGCAAGGAAGGAATGATTCCAGTTCTGAGAAGGAAAGGGGCTCTTGGGTGCAGTCATTTATTGAACAGCTGCTCTGGGCTCTGGGGACACACTGTGAACACTCAAAAGGAGAAAACAGATAACTAACAGTTAAATACGCTGTACTTCCGACGGAGGTACCTGCTACAGAGAACAATAACCGGAGGAAGGGGGTGGGGAATTGTGGTGGAGTAGGGAGAGGAGATTTACTGTTTTATAGAGTGTGCTTTAGGGAGGCTTTTCTAATAACATATTTGTGCCAAAATATGAGGTAAGGGAGAGAGTGACCACTGCAGTTACATGGGGGAAAGACATTCCTGACAGGGGACATGTTCACTTTGAGATGCCTACTATACATTCCAGGAAAAACATGTGGAATTGAGAACTGGCAACACTGGTCTGAGGTTTATGGAAGGAGTCTGGGCTGATGATCCTAAAACTATGAGAATGGATGAGATTCCCTAGGGAGTGAGCACAAATGGAGGAGAGAAGTTTGCATATAAGTGTCCAAGTGCACTACTGTGTTAAGAGGTCAGGAAGATAGCAAGGAAGGAAGATCAAGAACAAACAGCCAGAAATAAATAAATAAATGGATAGATAGATAAATAAATAAATAAAATAAAGAACAAACAGCCAGTGAGATAGGAGATTTGGGGAGCCAAGTGGAGAACGTGTGTCCAGAATGAAGTGATTAACTGTGTCAAGTGCTGCTGATCAATATGAAGATTATTGATGACCTTGGTTAGATCAGTTTCAATAGAGATTGGGGGGAAAGCCTAATTGGAGTGAAATTTAAGAGAGAACAGGAGCCCTGGCTGGTGTGGCTCAGTTGGTTGACTGTCATCCTATGCTCCAAAAGGTTAGATTCCTGGTAGGTAAGGGCACATGCCCTGGTTTTGGTCTGGATCCCCAGCTCATCCATATTTCTCTCTCCCTCTCCCTTCCTCTCTCTAAAATCAACAAAAACATATTTTAGAGAGAGAACAGGAAAGAAAGAAATGTGCTGCAGTGAGGAACAGCTGGAGGGAGTGTGTGGGTTTTTTGTTTTGTTTTGTGAATCCTCACCCAAGGATATTTTTTCCATTGATTTTTAGAGAAAGAGGAAGGGAGGGGGAGAGACAGAAAGAGAGAAACATCGATGTGAGAGAGACACATCAATTGGTTACCTCCTGCACACGACCTGACCGGGGCTGGGGATCCAGCCTGCAACCAAGGTATGTGCCCCTGATGGGAACTGAACCCAGGACCCTTCAGTCCGAGTGGGCCAACGCTCTAACAACTGAGCCAAACTGGCTAGGGCTTTGTTTTTTTTTTTTAAGATGGATAAATAACACATGCATTTATGCTGATGTAAAGAATCCAGCAGAGAAGAAGATATTGGTGATGTAGGGGACGTAGAAGAGAGGAGAAAGGCTGGCAATGTGTCCCCGAGCAGGCAGGCAGGCACGGGAGTTCAGAGGCTGGAGAAAAACAGCATTGGATTGAGCCCTGGTACAGAGTCAGGGCTGAGTGCCCCCGGCACTGGCCCTGGATGACAACTAGGAAGATGCCTCTGATAGGGGACAGACCAGGGATTGGCTTGGATTTTCTAAAATTTCTCTTTGACCCCTAAGAGCTGATTCTAAATTGGATTTGAACAGATGGTCCAGTGGAGAGAGAGCATTCCAGGTGGAGGGACTAGCTAAGCAAGGGGCATGCAGGCACTCAAACTGAGGCCTAATGGGTTCGAGGGGGTGAGGGGGTGAGAGGGGAAGGGGGACTGAGAAATGCTACACATAGGAGGCAGGTAGAAGGTAGTGAGGCCCCCTCACCCATCAGCTTGGCCGCTGAGGCTACATTCTACCAGCTTCCAGCCTAGGCGGGTGCTGAGCACAGGGATTAGAATCACGAGTAGGGGTTCAGGCCTGCTTGCAGGAGCTCACAGGCTGAAGGTGTTCCAGGGACCATCCATAGACTCTTCCCCCTGATTTCTCCCAGTCCAGCTTGCTTTGGTGAGCCTGCTGGAGGGAATGGACACTGGGGTAGGTGGGGCGAGGGGGCAGCTACCCAGACCCCTGGAACCCAGCAAGGGCAGTGTAGAGTACAGGGCTTGCTGGTCCTCAGGCCACATCCACTCATACTGGCCTCCACATGCCCTTCTGTGTCCCCAGAAGTCAACAGTGTGGGGAGTTGGAGTGGCCCAGCTGGATGTGACCCCCAAAACAGAATGGTGCTGGACTCAGGGGCTCAGGTGTATGGGCAGCCACCCCCCAGCCCACCAGCCAGGCGCGCAACCTTGGGCCGTAGGCCGAAGCCCTCAGTCCGAGATGGAACACCGCTGTACCCCTGGCCTCGGTCCCTGGCCTTGCCCCTGGCTCTGTCGGTCTCCTCAGCCCTGCGGCCACGGCCTGAGCTGCAGTCCCTCTCAGAGCTGCGCTTGGGCCACGGTGGCCACATGCGTCGCAGTGAGAGCACCTACACCGTAAATAGTACTGGCCGACCCAGGGGTGGCACCCAGAGTCAGGCCCCACCTGGACGCAGACGGGATCTAGGCGGGGGCACCCTGCGGTCTGCTTCCTCCCTGCCTCACATTGCTAAGACTCAAAAGTCCGGGGGCCGTGGTGCCAGCAGGAGCCCCTGCCTGTTGATGGCCCTGCGGCCAACCAACATGGACAGTGAGCGGGACAAGTTCTTCCAGTCCCGTTACACCTACAACCCACAGTTCGAGTACCAGGAGCCCATGCCTACGGCTGTGCTGGAGAAGTACTGTGAGGCCTCCGGACAGTTCATCCATCAGGTCAGTCCAGCCTGCCCACCTCACCCTGGCCCTGCCCACCCCAGAGGCCTGGCCTGACCACCCACTTGGGCCCTGTGTGCAGGCAGTTGGCATCATTGAGGCTGTCCTGGAGAAGTTTGGCACCTACGAACACTTTGAGGCCGCGACGGGGGGCCAGCTGCTGACCAAGTGCCAGATCTGGTCTATTGTGCGCAAATACATGCAGAAGGAGGGCTGTGTCGGGGAGGTGAGCTTGCCCTGCCTTCGAGCACCCTCTTCTGCCTGACCTAAACTGGCCTGACCGGTGGGTGGTGCCAGGCCCAGCTACAGACCCCTGGCAAGCCCCTGTCCCTGCCCAGTAAGGTGGGAACTGGCTCTGAGCAGAGATGGCGAAGGGCGGGTGTCCTGGCCACGTGTCCAGCCTGGATGCCCTGTGGCGTTGTTAGTGGGTACACCTGCACACTGGCCCCAGGGCTGGCGGCCATGGCTCCGAGCACTGCTGCCGCCTGCAGGTTGTGGTGCAGCTGAGTGAAGACCTGCTGTCCCAGGCAGTGATGATGGTGGAGAACAGCCGACCAACACTGGCCATCAACCTGACCGGAGCCCGCCAGTATTGGCTGGGAAGGCATGCTGCGGCACGAGATAAGTCAGGGTGTGGGTAGGTGGTTGGCAGTAGGATGAGAAGAGGCTGGGAGGTGGGAGGACAATG